AAAAATGCTTTGGGGAAAGGCTTACAATTCCTACTCACACCAGATAGGTGTAACTGAATAAATATAATTTACTGAAAATAAACCAAATCTCCAACACCATAGAGAGATGGGTGGGGGGTCTGTCTTACTGTCTTATCTATAGCTCCCCAATGACCTCGGTCACCAGCAATGTCAAACCTAGGGCATTGAGCATGACAAATGAAGGCCCCGTGGGAGTGCTGGTGTCCTTGGAGAGACTGTCCCTGGGTGGACAGCGCACTCCTTCAGCTTGCTCAGCAGCCAGGACCTTCCCACCCACAGACCCGCTGGGTCTGCTGCGGGGCTTTAATCGACACTATCATTTACTGTGTTTGCCCTGACAAGGAGAGAGCGTTGCTGCAAACAGAGAGCTTTTAAACCAGCGTGCCAAAACAACAAAGAAAACATGCTTCACACCGCTATCAGCTCCACTCATAGGAACGCATCCTTCCCTGTCAAGAGAAATGGATCTTGAGACTAGAGAGCACATACGTACAAGGCTATGAGGGCCATTACTCCTGCAAAAGACAGCCGTAACAACTGGACCAGCACAGAAAATCACAGAGAGGGCTGGAAGAGGGGACGCGCTCCACCTTCAACCCATGCCAGCTGTCACCTTGACTGTCTGAGCTCCACCTGGAGACCTGAGGCGAGCATTCACAGCAGTAGTGAACGAAGCAGAGAGAAGATGGGCTGACGATGGAGGGCACTCACAATGACTGACAGCAAGCTGTGTAGACTGTGAGCATCGTGCAAGATCTGGCGTGATGCTCACAGCCTCGGGGCAGCACTGCTAACATGGGTTTTTTTATATGCTTTATGTCAGTACATCATAAATCACAAAATGACAAGAGGCATTCAGTGTTATTAAGCCCTCACCATGTGCTAGTGTGTATGCTATGTGCCTTCAAAACATGGCAAGGCATTTTAACTTCACGAGACTTCATGGATCTTTAAACCTGTTTTAGTTTTCATGATGGTAAAAATCTCCCTTTTGTGGAAAAGTGAACAGGAATACTTTGAGGCAATTTGCTCTCCATGGCAACGGGTCATGACTTAACTCCATTCTGCTCTCTATGGTCTTCTGGGCCTGGAAAAGTTTGTTCATTTTCACAGTAAACATTTTCGAAATGTGAACCCGGAACAGTGACACTCGATGCATCACAGACTTGCACCAACTCATCACCTTCCAGCCATGGGACCTTAGCCAAGCCCCAACTCCGTCATCTTTGGAAATGTGGTACAGCCACTGTGGCAAGAGATGTCCCCTTGTGATAATTGCAAAATGTCACTACATCACGTGACGTGTCCATCTCGATCACTAACTCAGGATGGGGTTGTAGAGATAGGAGCGGCGAGGCTGTGTCCTCGGCACCTGGCCGCCCGCATGGCTAGCTTATGCCCCAAAATAATTACATGGAAACTGTATTCTTTTAAACACTGCCTGGCCTGTTATCTGTAGCCTCTTATTGGCTAGCTCTTACATATTAATCTAACCCATTTCTAATAATCTGTGTAGCCCACGAGCTGGCTTACCACGAAAGATCTTAACCTGCGTCTGTCTGGAGTGGGAGAATCATGGCGACTCCTCGGCTCAGCTTCTTTCTCCCAGCATTCTGTTCTGTTTATTCCACCCACCTAAGTATTGGCCTATCAAGGGGGCCTAGGCAGTTTCTTTATTAGTAAGAAATCACTCCCACATCATGGGGTAGCAGAGCCACCAGCTGTTCCGGAGTCAGCACGTCCTCCATGTTCTGGTTCACATGCAGATCAGGCCCCAAGCTCCTGACAATCTAGGGAGATCATGTGACCAATTTGGAGCAGTAGGCATGAAGAACATGACAAGGGGTCCTCTGAGACACGGAAAAGCCTGCATGCTTCCTCTGCCAGGTGCATACTTCCCCTTATGAAGGAGGGGTTGCCCAACCAAGAGATAGGGGCTGAGGACAACAGAGCTCCTACCAATACATGGAACTGGGTGGGACTAAGGTTAACAAGACAGGATTCAGCAGGTTTGAGTCAGCACACACTTTCAAGTCGATTCTTAAGTCACTCAAACAGGTAATGAAGGCAGAGGCTCTTTAAAATTGCCTTCATGCAGGTGGGTAGAGCAGGGATCTGACTTTAACCTAGATGGAATCCTATTGATAAGATTTCTGACAAATGCGTTGTGCTCAATATGTACTCGACATTATTGTGAAGCATAATTAAAAAAATCTCAGAGACTGATTTCGGGATTCAACCCGAAGGTCAGAAAAACAAAACAGCCAGTCACTGGTTCATACTTCAACCTCAGTCTGAAAATGGCAGTCCTGCCTCCAGGAATCTCAAAATGAGACTGTGTCTGAGAGCTGTCTCCTCCCATCTTATAATCCTCTCTAGTTCTGAGATTAAAGGCTTGTACCCCTACAGCCTGGTTTCTATGGCAAACTAGTTTGTCTTCTGGGGTTAAAGGTATGTGTTAATGCTGCCTGGTTCATAAGGTTGGCCAGTGTAGCTGTTTTAGTTTTACTTTTCTGACTCTCGGGCAAGTTTTATTGATTAAAATACAAGTGAAATGCCACTACATTCATGCACATTGCTTTCTCATGAGAATGAAGCCCTAGCCAAGGTGAGAAGGAGGTGCATTGGGATAGCAAAGCACTGAAGGCTTGGGGACGGTTCCTTTCAGAATGCAAAGCTCAGATCTTGTCCTGGGCCTTGTGACACTGAGCAGTAAAGTTCTGTGCAAGAAACAGGATTCCCTTTGAGCCCAAGGGCTTAACAAAGGACAGATACTCCAGTACTGGAAAGAGTGCTACTAGGGGATGAACTTGCTGAGAACCTACTCCAAGAGAAAGACAAGAGATGGCCATTCATGAGGGGCCTCCAGGTGGAGAACCAGGAGTGAAATGAGAACACTCAGCTAACCATTCCTGACACTCTACATTGTTTGTGGTTGTGACAGTCTCCTTGGCAGACCGATAAATGATAAAACAGCATAACCCCACAGCTCTGTGCAAAGGTGACTGCCATGGGGCAAACTCGGTCTCTCTGTTGACAGAGGTTTCTGTCCTGTCCAGTCCCACAGCCATTCAGTCCCAAAGAAACACACAGAGGCCTATATTAATTATAAACTGTTTGGCCTATTAGCTCAGGCTTTCTTATTAACTCTTACATCTTAAACTAACCGTAATTCTTATCTGTGTTAGCCACATGACTTGGCACCTTTTGTCAGCAAGGCATTCTCATCTTTCTTCCTCTGGGTCTGGGTTATGGCTGCAGACTGAGTCTTTCCTCTTCCCAGAATTCTATTCTGGTTGCCCCACCTATACTTCCTTCCTGGCTATGGGCCAATAGGCATTTTATTAAATTACTACAACTGACAAATCTTTATAGGGTACAAGGCCATTGTCTCATAGCAATCCTCAACTCCTTCACACCTGCCCGAGTCCCTGAGTTCTCCAGTGTCCTCAGAGAATAGCACTGCTAGTGTCTCTTATTGACTACATGTTTTATTTTAAGATTACAAACTCAAGGCATGCATGTCTTGTTAACTTTCATGGGCTTCCTTCAAATTAAGCCATAATCAATACAAAGAAAGAACTATTTATCCTGGAAAAACATGCAAAATACTAAACATTATATGAAAACAGGTCACTGATTGGTCAATGGGGAGGTAGTCTACATAGGAATGATTAACTTTCAAGTAGCTGATTATATTTGAATTGCAAGTCAATTGGAAGCCTTTTTTGAGAAACCTTGGCCAATTCGAAATTATACATTGGTTGGTTCACAAAGCTTAGACTTTACTGGGTGATTAACAAAAGGTAAAACTGGGTATTGGGCATTCTTTATGGGATGCAGATGTCCCGAGTTCATGCACATGAGATTTAGCTCAAGGAACATTGTTTTCCAATGTTTTTGCTAGGTAATAATACTTTCCTCACTGAAGGGCATTCAGGAGACTTTGTTAAAGAAACTTTAGTCCTAGCAAAAAAAAAAAAAAAAAAAATTGTTTTCCAATGTTTTTGCTAGGTAATAATACTTTCCTCACTGAAGGGCATTCAGGAGACTTTGTTAAAGAAACTTTAGTCCTAGCAAAAAAAAAAAAAAAAACTAGAGTGCCAGTCACACATGCTGACAAAATTCCTTGTGTCGCCTTTTGATCCTAACACAGCATTTACCACCACAATCTATCCATCTCTGACACATTTCACACAATGATTATCACTAAAAAGAGTCAATATGCAGAGTTTTATATTAGATTTATATCAGATCCTCCTCCAACAAAGAGGACTTCGCTAGCACTGAGTAGGTACCTGGATTTCCAGTACCGGAAATAGTATCTCTCTTGTCAAATGGGTCTTAGTCTGATCAGAGAATGGTTGATTACAGCCAAGGTATGTGTGCCACTACTGCACATGTAGGGTGACTTTGCCATGCTGGTTGTTGATTGGGTTCATAGGTGTCACAGTTGGGCAGGACTGTTAGTTGCCTCTCTCTCTTTTAGAAGCTTCCATGCCATCTTTGGGCACCATGGAAGCTAGTCTTCAGGGAGGAATCTGTCCTTGTTCTGCCCATGTTTGGCAGTCATGCTAGTGAGACTTCATGGGTGTAGCTTCTAATGTTACCAGGAGACAGAATCTCACAGCAATGTCCCTGGTCCTCTGGCTTTTATAATCTTTCATCCCCTCTTCCATAGTGTTTCTTGAGCCACTGGTGTGGGACTTGGCTTCACAACTCGGAAGACTGATCAGTTGAATTTTTCTGTAGAGGTCTCTGTTGCAGAGACATTTCCTTGATGAGAGGTGAAGACTGCACTTATCTGTGGGTCTAAGGACAAAGGTTTATAGATTGCTGTTAGGAATTATGATGAGCAAAAGAGGCCATGAATTGGAGGGAGAGTGCAGAGGGATATATAGAACAGTTTGGAGCCTGGAAATGAGAAATGTTATGATTAAAACACAATATCAAAAATAAACAACAGGGGGTCTGAGAAGAGCGGGAGGAGGTGGCGGCCTCGGGAAGATGTCTCGATCCAGCTCGACTTCCAGCTCAGGCTCCAGCACCAGCACAGGTTCAAGCAGTGGCTCTAGCTCCTCCTCTGCGTCCAGCTGCTCTGGGAGCTCCAGCACATCCCGGAGCTCCAGCTCTAGCAGCTCCTCTGGCTATCCCAGCCCTTCCCGGCGGCACTTCCGCTCCAAATCCAAACTACCTAAAAGAGATGAGAAAGAGAGGAAAAGGCTGAGCCCTTCACCTAATCCCACCAAAGTGCACATTGGGAGGCTCACCAGGAATGTGACCAAGGATCATATGGAAATATTTTCTACTTATGGGAAAATTAAAATGATTGACAGGCCTGTAGAAAGGATGCATCCTTATCTATCCAAAGGCTATGCATATGTAGAGTTTGAGAATCCAGATGAAGCAGAGAAGGCACTGAAACACATGGATAGAGGACAAATTGATGGCCATGAGATCACTGCTACTGCTGTGTTGGCACCCTGGCCTCAGCCACCCCCATGGCAATTCAGTCCACCCAGGAGAATGCTTCCACCGCATTCCATGTGACGCAGGTCACCCCCAGGGATGAGGAGGAGGTCTCACTCTCCAAGGCGCAGGTCCCCTGTGCATAGGAGGTCTTGATCTCCTGGCCGCCGCCGCCATAGGAGCCGCTCCAGCTCCAACTCCTCCTGATAAGCAGGGACGTTGATTCGTACCTCTGTAACTTATTTTCCCCCAACTCAGTTTTGTCCTTTCTTTAGCCAACGAGGATCTGTAGGGAAGGATCCCATAACGGGGTGGGCTTTGAAGACAGCAGTTGAGATATTTCCTCTGCAGGAGGATTCTGGCTGCAGAGGTACTGTTGATTCAGGACTGTGCCCATAAAAGTGCCCTGTAGTTTTCTGGCTAGAAAGTTCACCCTTCCCCTTCTTGAGAGTCTGGTTTATAGCAGAGCCAGCTGGGATGAGCAAGCCTCCATATTGCAAGACACGGTTTTCCACAGATGACCTAGGACCTAGGCAACCTGCTCGTGCTCCTGCTGTTGCTGTGCCACATCTGCGGAAAGGGGACCAAGCTGCTGTGCTGTTAGGCCTGACCATGTCCCCTTTGGAGTCCTCGTCAACTTCCCTACCCCCAGGTCTCTGTTATTCTCTGAAATTGGTGAGCCAGTTCTACAGGGTCCTCATGGAACCTGCCGCCACACTCATTGTCACCTGCCGTTCACAGGGATGTTGCAGGTTAACCGTGGCAGTGTATTCATTGCCTGTTTTTGCTTTTATTGTACAGTCAGTACTATAAATTTTGTTTTGAGTTTTATGACTTTATAGTATTTTAGATAAAGCCATTTGTACTTGTGAGTGAGAGGACTGTTGAATAAACCTCGGACTAGATGCAAACTAAAAATAAAAATAAACAGCAGAAGCAACACAGTCGTCTGCGCCTGTTTACAATTAAAGCAGCCTACCTATTTCCCCCACCTTCCTGCTTGCCTTCAGCATTCATATGAGGCCACTGGATATAGATTTTTGAGGTCTCAGGGGCAATCCTAGAGCCTGAGCTTTTTTTTTTTTTTTTTTTTTTGGCCATTCACCAGAGTTCCCCAGACTTATAAAGTGGGAGCTGACACTTTTAAAACGTAAAGTTATAAAGTACCAAAAGTTGGAAATTTGAGAACTAATATTTTTAAATATCTCCACGACTATAGGAACTGACTGTTTTTCTTACTGCCAGATATGCAAAGAGAGCAAAGTAAGACTCATGGTTCTAGGGTAAGCCCCTCACGGGGGAAGGCTCAGTAGGGGGAGTAGGAGGAGGTTGTTCATGTCACATCCTCAGTCAGGAAGCAGAGAGACAGATGAACGCGGGTCCTCAACTCACTCTCCCTGTTTTATACAGCCTGAGGTCCTACTCCAAGGAACAGAGCCACAAAAAGTTAAGGTGGGTCCTCACACTAGAAGCTCACCCATCGATTCCCCCAGAGACCTGCCTTCGGGAGATTTCACTTGGATTCTGTCAGGTTGACAATCAGTTTTCCCTATCACACTCACCTCCTAGTTCTAGAGCTAAAGGGGAAAATTTACAGAAGGATGGTAGAACAAAAGTTGTTGTTACTGCTGAATTTAACTTACATATAATTTTTAAACTGGAAAGCATTCTGTAATTTATACAATGATGTGTCACTTGTGGTGGGCACAGGGGAGAAGAGAGAGATCTGGCCTTCTAAGTCTGCCTAAGAGATACATTGAACAGTGTCTTCTTCTGTATGTGTTTCTTTTCTGAACAAAACGCCTTGCCTAGCTTTGTAAAAAGAAAAGCTTCCCTCCGTGGGCCCTGCTTTATTTCTTTTATCGGTTGGGTCTGATTCTCCCACTCAGGGAAAGGAAAGCCACGGAACTGGGCATGCTCTTTAATGCTCCACGCCATCGGGACCATCTAGACCCAGGCACCTCACCTTTGAAATGAAGTCTCAGAACGGCGGGCATCCTCTATGAGGGAGAGAAACCAGGAGGCCAGCTCCGCCTAAGGATGTGAGTAACTGTGTGAAGGGGACAACCAGGCACTTGCTGTCGTTGCATGGCACGGCGATTAGAAAGGACTTTGCAGCAGCCCCCATTCCCGTGTATTCACAGCCTTGCTTATGGCTGCTCTCCAGCCATTTAATCTGGCATTCAATCACAAATAATAGTTCTATTGAGTTGTGGAAAGTCAATACTTCTTACGCTCTTTAATTCAGGCAAAGCTCCAGGAGACAGCGCTCTGTTTGTTTAATGCTTTCACGGGCTATTCAGGGAAATCAGATTTACAAGGTTCCCTTATTCCCTAGTCACTTCCCAGCATGCTCTTATCTCGGATTCTCCCTCCACTGAGGAAATATGCCTGTCAACCTAAGTAGCATTTTCTTAGAGGAATAAAAAATTAATTGGGTACAACACTTATGCTCTGGGACCTCCCAGGGCTATCACTAAACATCCACATCACCAGGCCACCCAGCAGTCAGACTGGCCACAAGCTCTGTATTCTAATTATTCACAGAATCAAGAAATATCGAGAAAAGATCATTGACGGATACCTCCATCATAAAATCAGCAGATAGGATACAAACATTAATTGTCAAGTTAGATTAAGATAGACATCAGTCTTTTTATGTCTGGGTGTTCAGACCCAGGGTGAGAGGAAATCTTATATTGATGATTCTTTTCACATTATAAAAAAAATGTACATTCACATTGTAGAAAATGTAAAGGCAAGCCAAAGCAAAATTAAATACATTCACCATACCAGATCTGCCCCTCCTGCTGTGTTAGTGTGTGTCTTTTTGGGTTCACACATTATATATATATATATATTCTTACCAAAGTAAGACTGTAATGTAAAGTATTTTATACTCCATTTTACCTTTGCTGAATAGGCGACTTTATGAATAAGCATATTAATATATCATATATGTATTATTAATAATAAGCATATTAATATATATGTTCATCTATAAATTTTTCAGTGCGGAGATAGAGTTTCAGTATGTAGGTGGGCCACATTTATTTAATCAGTTCCAGGTCACTAGATGCCTACCAAAACCCCAATTTCAAATATTGTGTGCAAAATAAGATTAAAAGTTCCTGACTTCCCCAGGATATCAACTTAGTCATAGCTGGCCACATATATTACTCAAACTTCTGATAAGCAAATTGTCCTCCAGCCAGTCTGGACCAGCTCACCAGTCTGTCCAACAGAAACGTGTAGCTGGTTTTTGTTTTGTTTTTCATTTTGTTTACTCTTTGGGGGCCTGCCACCCAACTCCCAAATAAATACACGGAAACTTAGTCTTACTTATGAATTCCCTGCCTTACCTTGGCTTGCTTCTTGCCAGCTTTTGAATTATCCCATTTCTCTTTAACTTCATTTTTGCCTCTAAGCTTTTCCCTTCTTACTCCGTGGCTGTCTGTGTGACTGGGTGACTGGCTGATCCCTCGAGTCCTCCTCTCCTCCTCCTTTTCTTGCTCCTCCTCCTATCTCTTCTCCTATTTATTCTTTCTGCAACCAGCCCCACCTATCCTTTCTCCTGCCTAGCTATTGGCCATTGGGCTCTTTTTTTAGACCAATCAGGCACTTTAGACAAGCAAAGTAACACAGCTTTACGGAGTTAAACAAATGCAACATAAAAGAATGCAACTCATCTTTGCATCATTAAAAAAAATATATTCCACAGCATAAACAAATGTAACACATCTTAACCTAATATTCAGCAACAAAAAAGGGTCAGGGATCTATGCTGGAGAGATGGTGGCCATAGTTACAAATGTAACTATGTGGGCTGAAGAATGCTAACCTAACTGGCTTCTCATTTCTTTAATGAGTAGCCAGGTCCAACCTTTCTTCCCTGTGTTTATTAGTTGTTAGCCTTAAACCAGAGCCCCAGAGTCTTACCACACAGGACACAACCTCAGGGAGTATTACGTCTATAAGCTATGTCCATGACCTTTGCGACTTGTGGAGAGTCACTGAAAGATAAGAGTCAGAGTACTCGTTGGGCTGGTCACAGGCACCCTAGCTTCCTAAACAATGAAGGCGGTTAAGTATTTGTCTAAGTATTTGGGGCTTTTGTGGGAATACCACAGTGTCCTTAACCAGCGTTGGAGTCAGAAGTGTATAACAGAATGGCTATGGATTGATTTGTGCCCTCCCCCTCAGAAAATGCATATAATGAGAAGGCTCCCAAGCTCAGGGTTCGAGAGGACTTTTTAACCTGGACAAAACTGAAATGTTTTTAACTAAGACGCCGCACAGACAGACCTAAGCTGTTGCTACCAACTTTCTACCATTTGCTTACCAGGTCTCTGTTACACTGCACCTGACAGGTTGCAATGGGACAGTGGATGCTGCCTCTCAAGGTCCTGAGTTGTCCTGGCCAGGTTGGTTGCCACAGGTGCAAAGATTGGTTTTTCTACATAGTTAAGAAAACAGGTATAGAACAGGTACATGAATAGGACCATGTGGAGCTCTGCTCGAGGGAACAATGTCATGGACGCCATCAGGTTTTGTGGGGTATGGAGTGCGTGTGCATGTATGTGTGGAGGCCAGAAGCCAGCCTGGGATATCAGTCCTCAGAAGCCATCGGAGATGGTTTGAATACAAATGGTCCCCTTAGGCCCATAGAGAGTTGCACTATTAGAATGTGGGGCCCTGTTGGAGTAGGAGTAGCCTTGTTGGAGGAAGTGTGTTACTGGAGGGGGGGGGGACGTTGAGGTTTCAGAAGCTCAAACCAAGCCTGGTGGCTCACTGTCTCTTCCTGCTGCCTGCAGATCCAGATGTAGAACTCTCAGCTCCCTCTCCAGCACCATGTCCGCCGGCATGCCACCATGTGTCCTGCCATGATGAGAAGAGACTAAACCTCTGAAATTGTAATCCAACCCCAATCAAATATTTTTCTTTATAAGGGTTGCCTTGGTCATGGTGTCTCTTCACAGCCATCCATCTTGGATTTTAAGACATGCTCTCTCACTGGCCTGAACCCTCCAAGTGACTAGGGTGAGAATTCCAGGGATCTGCCTGTTTCTGCTTCTTCAGTGTGCACAGCAACATGCCTGGCTTGGTTTTTTTGTTTGCTCATTTGCTTGCTTGTTTGGTTTGATCTTTTTTAATGTGATAAATTTTAGGGGTTGAACTAAGGTCCCTGTATTTACAAGACAAGCATTTTAATGTCGGCACCAGACTG